TGTACTGAAATGGCAATGAGTTCTCATTTCTGTTATTAGAATGTTTTCAATTTTCTTGACATAAATATTTGTTTGTTTTTCAGTTATAAGTGAGACAGATATTTCTATGGTCATTGGTGTTGTGGTGTCTGTGGTAGTTCTGGTGTTTCTAGCAATACCATGTTCGTAAGTATAGCTTTCATTTTAAAGTTGACGTTAATTAGATGATGATTTAGTCACTTTAAAAGCTGGCATAAAAAAAGGTGGTTCTTAAAAACAAAAAATAACATCCTTTCAAAAAATAATTATCCACACTATCATCATCACCTGTCCCTTGACTCATCATAAGGGTGCTGTAACCAGATCAAGCTACGTTTCCCGGTCAGCAGCTGTTCTTAGCAGGATATCAAGAGAGAGGCCGGCCCATTCTTTTACATTGTCCAGATTCATTGAGGAGACAAAGAAATTTAAATCCATACATGCTTACACACACTTTTTCTAGAATTCAGTTTAGGGATTTACATAAACTAAAGGATAATTGAATTTGATTAGTTTACACAGAGCCCTTTTATTATTTGTTTGCTCAATATCCTCTGCTCGTGGGCAAAATTGTTAATTTTTTGGTTACATACCATTGATGACAGTATGTGAGCCAACTCTTCTTTACAAAGTATTTTTAACAAAATAATCAACTGCCTTTTTTTTTTTAAATATTTCTTTTTTCTTATTGGCCACTGCCTATATAGGTCAATAATTCTCGCTTGATGCTTTGTTTGAATACTGAATGTTTATAATATTTATAAAATATAAAAGAATTCATATAGTACATAGCTATATATTGTGATTTTTTATTCTATTCTCAGGATATACTATAGGAAATGCAGGAGAAGTAGACGTCGTTTTGCAGATTTCAAAGAATTACGTGCGTGTGAGGATACTTTGGTAAACCATAGAAATTATTGTCTTACAAGATAAAGATATTTCATTAAAGAAGCACAAAGCCTTTGATTTGATTTCAAGATCAGAGAAAAATATATATGTACAGTGGGAAGCGTGGTTGAGAGGCTAAGTATGCTTGAACTTGGCTTGTCTTGGCTACCTATCAAGGGGGCTCGAGCAGATTTGTGTCTACTAAGTGCCTAAAGGCAGCATGGAAAAACCTTCAACCAGATACCAACCCCCCTCTCCACACTAGTCCACAAATCATATTTGGTCCATAGCACTCTGACCATGCTATAAGCATGAAAATACCACTATATAAAAACTATCATTTTTTTAATACAATTTTGTATTTTTCTAAAATACTTTGTCAATCCTAATATAACAAAAAAGGTAATTAAAGTAATTTTTGTTCAACTTAGTAATTTAACTGATAGTAGGTTCTTAAGTTTTGGATCAAGTTAATTTGCTCCAAATGCTATTTTTTGATGATTACTTTTCTTCTAATTGTTGTAACTGCATGTGAACAAATTTATTTGGCAATAATTTTAACAGCAGCAAAAAATAGCCTTTAGACCTATATTAGACAAACATAGGCTCTATTTTAACTGTGTATATTTCTCAATGGAGCCATCAGGACAACATAAATACACTACATATAGAAGCTTCAGTGAGTAGGTAGCAATCAGGCTGAAAGAAAAATACAAATGTGAAAGCTAAGTGCTGAATTCACCTCACTCTCTTTCAATATATACCTATTGCTGCCTTTATATATGTAGCTTGTATGGATTATCTAATGTAAAGTTTGCATAACTTTATAGTTTATTATCCACTGGTCGAATTTAGATTAGTTCGTCATCAGTTTTCCAATGTGTCGTCGCACACAATTTATGCCAACACTTTTTATTATCTTTTTTCTTATTATTAAATTTAGTTTGTCATTTGGTTTCTTATCATGCTCTCTATAAAGTTAAGAATTTTGTTTCAGGGCAATACTCACGGTTCAGAGTTAAAACCTCTTTCCGAGCCCAACTACTCCAAGAAGGACAGTGACTCGGACTCTGGAAGAAGTAGTTGTGATGAACCCCTGGAACCATGCATCGCTGATAAACAAAGTTCTGAAAAATCTGAATGCGGAGACTCTGGCCTCTCACAGTTAGATTTTGTAGGGAAACCTGACAGCCAATCAGAGCGTTATTCCCACCGTGATTCAACAGACAGCGACAGCAATGGGAACAACACTAAAAATAAATCTGAAAGAATGAGTTTTGGTGTAGACTCAGGTCGCATAAGCAGCCTTGAAGAAAGTGACAATCTATCTTCCGGAAGCTCAAATGAAGAAAACAGCACCTCAGCAAGTTCAGAAACAAGCCTGACATCTGACAACGGTAGCAGTGAAAACATGGAAGACAGCAGCTCCTCTTCAAGAGACCCACTTAATGAAGGGAGTAATTATGCCCCAGGAAATTTTTCCTTTCACCCTCCATCTTGTTAGATAAACTGAAGAACATCAAATTAAGCATTTTATACGTATAGTTGAAACAATAATCAAAATTTTCTCACTTTGAATACCTTCTTATTATACTGAAAAACTTAATTAAATATATTTATAAAATTTTATCAAATTTTGTATTACCATCAACATTTTAAATCACTTTTTCAGGTTCCTAAAATTTTAAATTTCAGAGTTCCACAGTGTAGCACACATTTTAATTAGGGTTGAAAGCTATACCAGATGACATTATGATCAGTTTATTAAATTTTTTTTTTTTAAATAATTTCTTAGAAAAATTATTTTTTTTGCCATAAATATCTGTCTTGAATATCTTTTTAACATTGATAATGAAAAAACTGCTTGGACCCGAAGCCAAAATGTAGTAATTATTTGTTCATATAGATAATAATTATTTAATTTTTAATTGCTGTTAACAAACAGGTTATACAAGCAACCTTGAAGAAATGGACAATATATATCCAAAATTGATAGTATTATATCAGTTAAAAAGGTCATTTTAATTCATTGTTTCTCAAACTTTTACGGTTAACATTAAGAGTTCCTCTGTATTCACCCTACTCAATATTATGTAGAGATGAAAACGAGAGCTGGTTTGCTCATATTGTAAGACGTGACTCACTGTGAAAAGTCATCCTCCAAGGGAAAGTGGAGGAACCATAAAAAAGGGTTGTCCAAAGAAAAGCTGGCTAAACCACATAAAACAATGTCTGAAGCAAAGCATATTCCTGCATTTTGAGATTTAAAAAAATGTATTCTTCTATTGTCTGCAGCACATTATTTGTCCTCATGAGAAATATGCAACTCAAATGAAAACTAAGAACTGGGATAGACTTTACTAAGTATGATAGAAAATTAATACAGTTGAGCAGGTATATTTGTAAAAGGCTGGATTATTGTAAGATTGCACTCAGCAAGTCATTACAATGCCTCTATTCAAGTCAGAACTTCGTGGAAGGTGAAGGGTAAAACCTGGACGCTGATCTCAGAAACGGATCTAAGGATTTTTCTAGAAATTTAAGTCTACCATATTGCTGAGAAAAGTATTACAAGCTTGTTGGTCAAAAGGGGAAAACTCTATCTTGACAGTTATAATTTTTCAAGTAAAAAAAGAAATGAATTTAAATTTGTCTAGAGAACTGGATCTAGGTCTAGAACCATTATCAGGTTTGAAAGGACTAATGTACTTTAAAATTTCTGAATGTAAGGCAGCATTCCATTGTTTTTTTCTTTTATGTCACATTTACACAATATTATTAAGAGAACAACAATGAGACTCTAAGTTGTATAAAGGAGGTATTGCCTTTTAAAAAAGTATTTTTAATGTGTTTCTTGTTTTGTAGTGAGCCTATTATGTTCTGTGATTGAAATTTTTAAATTAATCTAATTGCAAAGCCTTTGCAAAGGCAATATAAAATGTTCTACTTACAAGATTAAATATCACTTATTTTAATTATTAACTTTTGCTTACATTGGAAATAATGATGTTAATCTTAATAGATATATATATATATATCTAGATATACTTAAGGTAGAGGCAATTAGCTAATATCAAACTAGAATTTATAATTTACTTCAAATACAAGAATTTTTTTGTCCTGGAAAAGAAATGTCTGTCTTTGTACTCACCTTTTGAACCATTTTCTTTTCCATTAATAATTGTATGAATAAATGTGAAAGATCAAATCCTGAATATTTGATGTTGTTATGTGTGCAATGCATAATAATAAGCTTTCATCTTGTTTCTACTAACACACTTATTACATAACAATTTGTGTAAAAACTAATTTTCATTTTTAAGCTGCTGTTGCATTTCTTGCCACAATGTTGTTTTTTTTTTTCCTTTTTTTATCTGCACTTCTAAACTCTGAATTACAGGATTCGAGGTATTTTAGTAGTGAAGAATGGATTAGCTGGCAAATCAGGGTAAAAAGTAAATGTAACTGTACATTGTTCCGGGTAAAAGTTATGTGACCGTACATTGTTCAGTGGGGAAGTAATTGTAACCATACATTGTTAAGGGGAAAAGTAAATGTAATCATACATTGTTCAGGGGAAAAGTAAATGTAATCATACATTGTTCAGGGGAAAAGTAAATGTAACTGTACATTGTTCAGGGGAAAAGTAAATGTAACCATACATTGTTCAGGGGAAAAGTAAATGTAACCTTACATTGTTCAGGGGGAAAGTAAATGTAACCATACATTGTTCAGGGGAAAAGTAAATGTAACTGTACATTGTTCAGGGGAAAAGTAAATGTAATCATACATTGTATTTGTATTTTGAGTATTTTGCACATCAGCACAATTTAGGCCATGTTGTGCCATAATCCCATAAGAGTTACTCTCCCTTCATATCACAAGAGCTAAATTTTATACAGTTAAGTCATTAAAAACAAGGTAAAAACAAGATAGTAAAAATTTATTAGTTGAATAAAAATCTGTTGTAAATATTAAATGTTTTCAATTTCTTTGCCCTATCACAAATGAAACCTTTACAGACAACCCCACCTCCTGGACAAAGCTCAGTACGATACATTGATCAGGGGAAAAGTAAATGTAACTGTACATTGTTCAGGGGGAAAGTAAATGTAAATTAGCCATTTTACATCTTGTGATCTATAGTGATGTGAAAATAATGTTTCTTTAGCTGTTTACAAGGGTACCATATGGTCAGGTATCCATTAGAGTGGGTGGATTCAGGGTCGTCCTAAAGATCCAGAAATTCAAAATCTCAGTTTGCACTTAGGTTTGGACCTGAGGCCCTTGGTTTGTACGCCAAGTGCTTTACCACTCAGCCACCACATCCCATAGGTCAGGGTAACCTAAGCTCAATAAGCACAAAGATATGACCTGTGAAACCTTAAAATGAGAAATACAATGTCACAGTAATACAATCAGTTAAACTCCTGCTTTGTAAACCCTCAGTTAAAACATTTTGGAACCTAGGTTATTTTGAATTGGCGTAACCCTTTTTTTTCATGATCTGCTGGGAAAGGATACTCAATTTTTTTATTTTTTTTTTGTTGACAATGTCTCAAAGCTCTTTGGCAAGAATTTGTTAAGATTATCATTTAATTTTTTACTTAAGTAATCTTTCAGCTTCGATGTTCTATACAAAAATATTAGTTTTCAATCATTATTTGAGACTTGTACAAGTCTAAGCTTTAATGTATCCCATCAATTATTTGAAATATTTTGTTCTCTTTTAAGGTTTTGCTTAACTTGTTTATACTTATTTTTTTTTTTTTTTTTTGTTGATAAAATTTTTCATGTTAATATTTATGAACATCTGTACTATTATATACATAATCATTGCAAAACCAAACTAATGCAAGCCTATTTAGTAGCTTTAGGGAATAATTGTTTTAAACTTGGATTTAAAAAAAAAAAATGTAACGAGCAAATACTCAAATCCCTCAACCAAAGAGAAAACAAAAGGGTAGATTTTATTATTATTTTTTTTAATTATTATTTCTATATTGTTGTATTTTTCCAATATTTTGGATAACCATTTAAATTTTTTTTTCCTTAAAAAAGAAAATAAAACAGAATGAATTGTAATCAAATAAGTAACTTCACCAGTCCCTATGCAGCTGTACATCTAGCAAGATTGTCTTGAATGTCATGAGTTTTTAAAATGTATTGAAAAATTTTAACAGCCTCAAGTCAAAAAACAAATACCAGAAGGCATGTAACAGTAATTGAATTTAAAATAAACCAACTGGATGTGGCTTTTTTAGTCAGTAAAAGCATAACTACTACATTTATTTGCTTTAACTATTCCAATCACAAGAATACAAAACACATTATTTGATAAAATCCAAAGAATCATTATTTTAAATACCTTGAAAGAGAGCACACATGGCCTGTTATTCATTAAATACACAAACAAATTGCATTCCTTTTTTGATTGTTTCTGTTATATTTAACTCGATGTTATTTTACATGTGTTTATACCTTACTGTATATAATGTACCATTACTTTATTGTTTATGGAATAGTCAAAAATCATTGAAAACACATACATTAAAATGTAAAATATACAGTTTTTTAATGTCTAGGTCAAGAATGAAAATCTCTACAACTAATGTTTACAAAGGGGCAGTAGATCACAAATCCTTTGTATAATAACTTTTCAAGAAGCTGGTCTGGGATTTAAAATTTCAAACTCTTTATCAGTTGTCTTCATAAACTTGTCTCTGCACAAATTAAGTTCACTATCAAGCTAAAAAAAAATGAGGAAAGGCATCCTAAAAATTTCAACAAACACGCTGGGAGCTATAAGAAAAACCAGTACAGGAAGAGTAGTGTGGAGCCATTGCTTTTTTTTCTTTAGCAACCTTTGACTTGAGTCAGGGAAACTGTTGCACATTCCATTTTTTTAAAAAATGAAACTAATATTGTTATTGTTGGTGTTATTTGTTAATTATATTTTTTTATAAAACCAATTTGAATCAAAATTGTAAAAATATTTTGTTATTGTTATACACCTTTAATGTTTTAATTAGCAAGTGTCTTTGTTGACTTCATCTAACTTGTCCAGACATTTTCCATCTTCTGTACACTTTTGTAACTTTCCTCAATATTTTTATCCATTTTAGATGTTGTTAATGTTATTGCTATCTCCTGATCTACATTCTAATATGTAGATTACATGGGCGTAGCCAGGATTTTTTTTCGGGGGGTTGGGGGGGATTTTTTCTTTGGCTTTTTTTTATATGGAAGAGGTATTTTTAGCTTTAAACCCAGCGGAAGAGGGGTTTAAACTCAAACCCCCTTTGGCTACGCTCATACAATTTTGAGTGTGTAATTTGCTTTTTTATATTGAAGATGGGTTTAACGTAAATTTTGGAGAGGGGTTTAAAATCAAAATCTTCCTTAGATGTGCTCTTGGAATTTGGGGATTGTCGTTTGCATTTTTTTTTATTTATCGAAGAGGGGGATTTAAATGCAAAACCCCCTTGTAGGGAGTTTTAAACTTAAAATCCCCAGGTAGGGGTTTTAAGCCTAAAAATCCCCTGGTGTGGGTTTCAAACTCAAAACCCCCTTGTAGGAAGTTTCAAACTCAAAATCCTCGGTATGAGGTTTGAAACTCAAAACCCCCTTGTAGGAAGTTTCAAACTCAAAATCCCTGGTATGGGGTTTGAAACTCAAAACCCGTGGTAGGGGGTTTGAAACTCAAAACCCCCTTGGCTGTGCTATGGCAAGTAATGGTTTAGTATTAAAATTTCATCCTAAAATAAACAAAATTAAAGCGAAAGATTAGTCACTAAACTCCCACCCCCTGGCTACGCCCAAGGTAGATTATTTATGTAACTTATGTACACTATAATATCTACATACTTGATAGAAATCTATTTGTGATATAATGGTTTTTGTGAACAGAATGTGACTGCTGGTCCTGAAAACAATATGGCATCCAATTCAAAGACTGCTGTTTAATCACTCTTAGGTCTCATGCAACACTACACAATTCTCACTGTAGGACTACACTAGAAAATGGAGGATTTTTACCCCATGTCTTTGCAGCTTTTACAGTGGACAGGATAGTCCACTTTCTACATAACTTATATATCAACTCACTCTGTCTGTCTTGGTAAAAAGTTTGTACGCATTGTTTCTCCCACACCCATTCTCTGATCAAGTTAAAATTTTGCACAATTAGTTCTTGTACCTGGAAAAACAAGGGAAAAAAAACAAAAAACAATTAGTTAATTAACTATTAGAAATTAATTTTGTTTGGTTTGGAACAAGGGAATAAAAACTTTGTTCTTGGCAGACATTGTGGTAGAAGAGGAATTAGTCCCTGAAGGAGGCTTAAGCACTCGAGTTTGAATTCAAGTCATACAAGCTATTTTTTTTTAATGCATTTAAAGTGCTATCATGGTAACATTCACCTACATACCCACTTTTTTCCTCCCCCCTTCCCAACTGGTCCAGACCAGTGATAGGATCATAGCCCATTGGGAGAGGTAAAGAGGATGAAATAGCACTAAACAAAAAACAATTTGTAAAAATGTTTCTAATCGCACAGATTTTATTCTTGTTTGTCTAGGTCTATTACAAATTGAATGACATGATTTATACAAACTATTTGATACAACTACACAGCTCTTTTTTTTTTTCTATAACTACTTGTGATTAGTTTATTTCTTTTGGTCGCATTACTTAAGAAACCATCTAGATTGAAAACATAAATTTAATTAAAGGTTGGCCACCAACTCCAAAGAGCTGTGCAAAGACTGTAAAGTTCAGTTGCAGCACACAGCTAGTTCAAAGTGTCATGTGCCCATTCTTCACTAATACTGCCACATGTTAACTGTCAATGAAAAAAAAACCTGATGTGCAATGGAGCTTAGCCTTACCTCATTCTGTCACTCAACAAAAACCTGACAGTATTCAGACACTAAACAAAAACGTCATATCATTCAACAAAAAGCTGAAATCATTCCATCATTCAACAAAAACCTGAAATCAATCTATCACTCAATAAAAACCTGACCTCAATCTATCACTCAATAAAAACCTGACATAAATCTATCATTTAACCAAAACCTGACATATTTCCATCACTCAACAAAAAAACTCACATTAAATCACGACTCAACAAAAATCTGACAGCATTCAGTCTTTTAGCAAAAACCTGACAACAAAAGATTGTTTTATTACTATATTAAATTTTGTCTTTCAGTGATCAATTTTTTTTATTTGTTTAAAATCTGAGGTTTTTGTTTTTCTCAGTAAATGTTTTTTTTTTTTTTTTTCATAAGGCAGCAAGATATCTCTATGGAATCACTGCACCATTTCAAAATAGTGTATTGCCTTTTTCACTAATACTAAAGGATGATAGTTTTACCATGATCACTAAATAAGTGTTTTGTCAGAGAAATCCTTTCAAATGTTATGACTTTTTATGTGATTTGTGGCAGTTCATGTTTTTAATGTTCTCCTTTTGCTTTCTGCACATCGGTTAAATATAATTAATGTTTTTACCTGCTAACACTCAAATATAACTCATATAATTTCAGCTACTAAACAATTAAAGAAAAGATAATGTTTAATATTCGTGTTGGTTTTATTCGAATATAAAAGTTCAAAATTATTATTGTTTGTGTTTGATTTGTTTCTCCCACATTAGTGGGATCCCCCGCTTGTTGCGGGAGACTGGCCAGGGTTATGGGGGACAGGCAATGGTTAGGGCACCTTTTCTAGCCCCTCAATTATGCTTAGGAGGTAAGCAGTGCATTCCTAAAAAGGGCTGCTGAGTTCCAGTGCTATCTCAGTCACTGTCAAGCGACCACATAGTCTTGGCTGACTACGTGTAGATTTGTAGCTATTGCTGCCAGTGTATCCACACTTGCCTATCGCCGCAAGACTTTTTGATTGATGAACATGGGAGATGAGAATGTGGCTTGCGCGATGAAAATGTATTAAAGTGAGGGAGATATGCGCGCGCTGCATCAGCCTCACTCTTTCGCCCCTTGCCAGCTGAATCTAGTGGCAGAACAGAGTCCAGACAACTGGAGCTGGTTTGGGGTGCAATGGATGACCAGTGTGCTCTACATGTCCCAAAGTGCTCCAAAACATTCCACGGCGTTTGCTAGGTGACGCCTAATGGTCCTGGTAGTCCAATTCGACTTGAGCGCCATGCATCCGCAACTAGACTTCACATGCTGGTGGTGGACAGAGACCATAGTTGCACCAGATACTAGCTCAGGCTAACCCCCACCTGATTTGGCCCGTCAGTCGAGACGGTTTGCCGGGGTGTGGCCGTTGCCGCATGCAGACAATTGCTTGGAGCCACAGGTGAGAGCTGGATGAGTGGAGACCAAAATCAATGAGCTACTCAGAGAGCCCGACTGCCCAGTTGACAGAGGTACTACTCCTACAGAACCCTATACACCCCATTACAGATAGATGGATATAGATATATATATATTCTCATGCTACATGTCTTTCCTGTTTACCACATTGTGAATCTCACCAACCTTTAGAAGTTGCATAGTAAGGGATTTTAAAAAGGGGTCGCCTAGCTTGAAAAGTTGAGAACCGCTGATGAAGAATAAAAAATTAAGGCAGGGGAAGTAAGTTCACATTTTTGCATAGTTCAACAGTATGAAACGTTTAATGTTCCTGTACAATGAGTAATAACCTAATAGATGTTTAATATGTCTAAGATCTAGGCTGCATTATCTGAGATCTGGGCTGCATACTCTCAGATCTAGGCTGCATTCTCTGTTCTAATTTCATTGA